TCAGTTTTGTCTTTGTCTAGGACTCTTCATTGACGCGCAGTCAGGATGAAAAAATTTTTAAAAAACCAATAGCTACTTAAAACAAATAAATGTTTAAAATATTTTTTAATCCTTTACTACCTTTAATCTATGTCCTAAAGTACCCATGTGCATAGCATTTGAGACATGAAAAACTGAACTACTGAGATTAAACTGTGGTTCTCATTTACAGGCCGAATTTTTTCTGCCAGTGAAATATGAATAGCCATAAAAAGGTCGTTGGGCCAGAAATCCCAATAAATAACAGAACAGCTCTGTATGTGCTCAGGAAGACTGAAGGATACATTATTGCGATTAAAATAGTGTTCGATAGTATCAATAATATTTCATTCAGATATAAATATTTCCTTGTCAATAACGCTATTATTCTTCTGGTCATTCAAAAAATTTATTACCCACTCTATGTATGAATATATAAATATATATATGATAAATTTTCGTTGTTTTAAGAAGTTTGCTTACTCGTTTTATGGAAAAAAATAAAGAAAGAAATATTTAACAGTGGACATACATAAGCGTATAAAAAAGTTCATTGATTGCTTATAGCAATCATACTACAGTGAACAAATAAGAGGAAGAATTTAAGCGTAGGCAGACCACTTGATAGAAAATCGATCTCAAGGTCAACAGATAAGCTCAATTCTATCTCCTCTAACTAAGAGAATGATGGCGATGATGATAATGATGGTGATATTAACTATAAAGTGATGCTAGAAGTAATACTGACTGACTTCACACTGTTCTCGTTATCGATCTAAACGTCTATTCTTTGACAATAATTTTAAAATTTACCCCAATGACGAAAATGTAAGCCAGAAATTTCTGTCATCGGCTATTGATGTGAAATTTCGCTTTTTTTAAATTTGTTGCTGAGTAGTCAAAATACTCTCTTGGTCGATTCAGTACTCCACTAGAGTCAGTCATGACAGACTGTCTAAATATTATCTTAACGTACTTTTTTATCATTCTCTCATATGTTTGATACTTTACTCATTAGTGTAGCAGCGCTAGAAATGGCACTCAAGCTGACTTTGAAAGCTTTGATTAAAAGTATCAACGTTCACAGATAAACAAAAAAATGCTAAAATAGTTACACATATAAAATTCTGTTCTGTTTGTAAAGGGGAAAACAAAGTAATGATCGTCTTTGCAGGAGTTTTACTGCCTAGTGCCAATAACTTCATCAAGGTATCGATAAACCAGAAACTTATTTTATTTTTGATTATAGCTTGAAACCACACAGTATTTTTGGTAAAAGTATGGAATTTTCAGCATGTGATATTGGTAGCCCAAATTTTGCAGGCCGACCATTGATATCAGGTGTGCGTCGGCAGGGGATCGAACCCCGGACCATAGGCATGGTCGGCGAGAGTCCTAACCTCATTGCCACCGACGCACTAATATATAATATAATATCAAAGTTTATATACGTCAACTCGTTCAAGTTTCATCTACATACATTTTTCTGAAAATGTTGGCAAATTTCAGATGTAATGTGCATGAAAGCTACAGTTAAACGTCATTCTTATTGCAAAAATATATACATATATCTGTAAAGTTACTGGATAGACAAAAAACTTCTGAATGCTCAGTTGTATGATTCCTGCTTCATTTTTATTCGATAGCACTCTCCTGTCCAATTTTTTATTTAGTTTTGAATCTTTTTAAAGTGACTCACCACTGCTATCATAGCCAGTCTTCTTGCTTATCAGGATCGCATGTAAGACTAAAGATTAGGTTGTCTTTTCAAGTAATTTGACTCTAACGGACAATACTGAAGGTTATTTGAATAACCTAAATTTTAAATTCATTTTAAACTTAATTATATATATGACCTCGTAATCTACGCCACTTACAAGCAAAAATGAGTCGTAATATCGTGTGGAGTTACATTCGTCCAAGTAAAATAATTTAATGTTTCAAGGCAAAGTGTGGTAGTGCTTCTTTTGAGAACCTGTCCTGATTTTATCCTTGGTGTGTATTCTGTAAAAGTTTTCAATTCTGAGTTTTGCTTTAAGCCGTTTGTTTTACGAACAACGATTTTAGAGAACAGTTCAACTTTAATATCGAGTTGTCTCTCCAAATTTTGGTTCCTGTTTTTAATCATTGAAAAGGACTAAAATCGATTAGAACCTTCGTACTCATGAGACTTAAGTATTCAAATCCAAAAGTCCCTTAGAATTTGGTACTTTTATAAAAATAGTTACGTTCAGGTGTACATTTTCTTTTGTGTTAGCTGAACTGTCCAGGAAGGATAATCTACCAATAGCTGATACTGTTTTTTTGTCTAACCAGGTTCGATAATGTAGAGATATACTCTTGTGTTAATGCACAAAATGTGTTACACATCACTTCTTTATGCCTAGATTGTCTTAATTGGACTTTCTGTGTAAGAATAGTCGGCGCCAACTCACGGAAAAGTTGAACATTTTGAGGGAAAAAGATGTATGCATAATTAAATCACCAGTTAATCTGTACGGCTTACTCTGGTGTTTATAAATAAAGTTTCAAACTTTTGGTGATAAATTAATACATTTGCGTAACACATTTCGAACAATCTGATCACACACGGACTTGTCATAGGAATATATATGAAATTAATAAAGAGGTAAGAGGCGAGAACAGGAGACCTAGCTCCTCTATTGCAAAACATATTATAGAAACAGGACATAAAATTGACGTTAACAGATCTTTTAAACCTATCTATAAAACGTGTTTGGGACGTATCCTAAAGTTTGTGGAAGCCCTAGCAATTAGAAAGTTTAAGCCACCTTTATGCGTTCAAAAACAATTTGTCATCACATTAAACCTTCCTTGGTAAATTTTGTTTTGACACCATAGCAGATGTATTACTACCTCTGTTATTTGGTTTAGTGGTCTTCATTGTTACTTTGACCTTGAATATGTCCTTTCAACTTGACCTAAGTAGTCTATTTTCTCACCTCTTACCTCTTTATTAATTTCATATATATTCCTATGACAAGTCCGTGTGTGATCAGACTGTTCGAAATGTGTTGCGCAAATACATTACACGATTCAGACAAATCACATCTTCTCATTGCTTTATCTAAATTCATAAAGGGAACTGCTTACTTCTTACTAGGGTGTTATAACGTTTGTTACAACTCAGTCAGAAGAGATTGCTTATGCTATGAGTTGCACTTTTTGCTTAGGGTATGAAGCAAATCGAGAGGGATTCAAATCATGACCTTGTTTGTTGGGAGTTGAATGCTTAAGTCAACGAGTCACTTTTCTTCACTTGTTTTGTACTAAATATGATGAGTAAGTAAATTACTAAGTCGCGTCATCTTGGAGAAAATAAAAAATATACTAGATGCAGAACACCGTCAACCGGAACAAGCTGGATTCAGGAAAGACAAGTCATGTACTGATCAAATTGCAACTCTACACATCGTCAACAAACAAAGGATAGAATGGGAGTCAAACCTCTGTCTTAATTCTATCTACTTCGAAAATGCCTTTGACAGCGTTGACCGAGACGTGGTTTGGAAACTGCTTCACCACTATGCAGTGCAGTATCCCAAATCTTTATCAACCTCATTCAACAGCTACATGAAAAGGGCACGTGTCAGGTGATTTACAGTGGGAAACTCAGTAGGGCGTTTGAAGTGAATACAGCAGTAAGACAAGGCTGACTACTGTCATTGATGATCTTGCCGACTGTGTTGGACAAGATTATGCGTCAAACTGTAAAAAGCGAGAAGATACGAATACGTTAGACCAATAAGAAGACTCTAGAACATCGTGATTTTGCGGACCATTCATGTCTAATATCACACAAACTCGAAGAGCCACAGGAAAAAACCAACCAGTCGTCAGAATGAGATAGCGGCAAAGGTAGGACTTCAAGTGAACACAGAGAAGACGGAGATGATGAAAATAACCGACCAACAACAGCCACCAGCACCAATAACTATCAGCAGAAGAAATTTGAACGAATTCACTTCCTTCACTTATCTATGTAGCATCATTTCAACTTCAGGTGAGCAGAATGGATAATGATGCTGAATCCAGAATCAGAAAGGCAAGACGGACCTTCATTAATCCGAAATAAGTTCTGAAATCTCCTGCACTCAGCATACAGAACAAAATTCTGGTTTTCAACACCAATGTTTATTCAGCCAGTCGGCCAGTTCTTCTAAATGGGTCAGAAAATTGGCGCATCGCGAAAGGCACTTCGAACAGACTACTGTGGACTTTTAACAACAGTTGCCTCCTGTGGATCCATACTGAAGATCAGATGACCAGAAAGAATTAGAAACAAGAAACTCTGGGAAAAAACCAACCAAGAGCGTATTGCTCAACAAATATGCAGAAGAAAATGGAAATGGATTTAATACACGCTGAGGAAACCGTCGATTGACATCGCGCTCAGTGCAGATTATCACTCTAGTGAAACCCGACTGGGAAACGACGAGTTAGGCGTGGCTGCTGGGGTGACATGGGGGAGATAGTGTGTGGAGGACATAAGAGACTATGTGCAATCGCCGGGTCAGCTAAAGAGGACCGCAAGGAATGGGACATAGGAGAGATGTGCTATTGAAGTCCTATTTTCCACCCAGGAACCTGGGTAATAATAATGATAAAGAAATCATGATGATAAGTGAAGACACCAATCATACAGGCTATGTCCCTATGTATATTATTTGACAAATCGCTTACGGACAACTTCAACAGACCCTGTGTGACAACTCTGTGGCAAAGTCTGTCAACTCCCTATTTGACCAGGTTTGTACACTTCTGTATTGAAATAAAGAACAACTTTCCTTTTTCGGCGAATTTCACTGCTTCGAGTAGGTGAATCATAAAAGTGTGTGATTATGCTTCAGGTATGCTTCTTTTTATTACTTAAAGAAACTTTCTTATCAAAAGTTTTAAAAAATGAATGAAAACATATCAAAAGCAAGATAAAGTTTTATGCATTACTTGCAATGACTCACCTTGACCTTTCGTTTTAATTGGACCCAATTCAAGAGCAGGACCCATCCCCTCTGAACCAACAGCCATTATTCTGATACGATATGTAGTACGTGATAAAAGACCATGAATAATGTATTCATAAATTTGCTGTGTAGGATATAAGTAATTAACAGATATTTTATTTTGTTCCCAATCCGTAAATGGAAATGCTGACCACTGAATTAAGTAGTGCAAAACTTTTGATGGTTTTTCAGCCTTCGATAAAGAATTGCTGAGAAGACGTACATACTGTGAAACATTTATGTTATCCAAAACACCACGTGGTGCTAACCATCGAATTCGTATACTGAAGGAATCCAGTATACTAAGTTCATGTAGAATTGGTGCTCCAGGAACTACGAAAAATTGGAAAGAAATAATTAATTTATTTCCCATAACAGTCTTTCAAATCTTTTTGGTAGGAACACCTCAACATAAACACTGACAACCAGTCAAATTATACACACAGTTCCTAGTGAGTTCAAACCTAATAAAAAAGTTACTATCAGTACCTTTCAGTATATTAACGCTTGATATTTATGGGCATGTGACTAGCTTTCAGGGCCCGGATAAGTTTCCAAAATGATGAGCTTTTCTTCTTTACGAAAAGTTAACCCTGGGCAAATAATGACAAATATTCTTAGTATTTTAACAATATAAAGCGTAACTTAGAATTTTATTGAAGAACAAAAAAGTAATGGAACCATTCTAGTCTTTTTTCTGGAAGTAAATTTCGTCTCATCCTAATTCCTACGTAGGAAGGCCATTCTAAGTCACACTTTTATCCTTTGTGAATGCAGATGTCAATAAGTTGGAGATGTCTCATACTTTTCACTTGGGGTTTACTGTGACTCACTCTTTCAGTGACCATTTAAAAACAGTAGGTATGAAATTCTCTGCAGATGTTGACTGTGGGCTTGTTTCTGTGAAATAAATCAGAACAGATAATACATTGTAGGGACGAATGTAACGTCATTAGTTATTTGAGTAAAATTTCGTCAGCCTTACTTACATTCAAAATATCTCCACACATTTATTCTCCTTTATCAATTTGAGTAAAGCAAGAGCAACAGTTTGTGCAGAATAATGAAGTGGTATCATCACACGGCTGAAGCCCTATGTTCCTCTAGGAATTAAAGGATACAATAATAATAATAATCATTTATTTGGTTGGCTCCTCATCAGCTGCTTACAGTCCAAAAACATTATTAAGTTCATGAACAGAAACAGTTTTAACATACTTACACCGAGAGTTCATTTTTAAACAAGAAATCAATACATGCATATAATGGTAATAATAATGATGATCCATTTATCTCGAACAATGAAAAGCATACACAATAAAAGTTTTTTGCCGTAGCGTAATCAAATGAAAATATCCAATTACTAGATAATGGAAAGACCGATAACCACTTTATTCTGAAAGCATAAATCGGGTTTCAAGCACTTGATGGAGATTGCTTCAGCAAACTTGAGAAGAATTGGATCCTTTTGCTTATTGATTATTTTGAGTGATCTTACAACGTCCACCTCATGACCCGTGTCAAGGAGATGCCTAGATATGGCACTGTTGACGTAGGCTTTTTGGTACATATACGCCAAAATCTTCTATTGGTTATGATTTTCATTGTTCGAGATAAAGGGATCATTATTATTACCAATATATGCATATATTGATTTCATGTGTGTTAAAACTGTTTCTGTACATAAACTTAATAATGCTTTGGAATGTAAGCAGATGATGAGAAGCCAACGAAATAAATGATGGTGCCATTTTATCATTCTGCACAAACTGTTGTTCTTGCTTTATTAGAATTCGTTTGGCTTCCTTTAAAGGGCTCATTGAATAAAACGTTTTGAGAAAATCATAATTAAATAATGTCCATTACTCTCAACTCGATATATCCTTCTTTATGTCTGTTTACTTGGCAGTCTTTTCAAGCTTTTAGACCGTTAAGCAAGAATGATATGATTAGAATAAGTGTGATTTGCAAAGTTTGTTTGAACAGCCAGTCAAATGCCTAGAACACCACAATCATCCACTTGGCTAGAAATATTCCTGGTCATTTGACAATCAAATCTTGTCACTTACGAGAAAAATAACTATGTAAATCACTTCACCTAATACCTAATGGAGTAGTGTAAGCAACTTGAAATCTTTTGAAATATGACCCTAAATCATTTCAAAAAGTTAGTGCTAATATGACCTTGTTTTACCACTTAAGGGTTATTTAACGAACCTTTCAGATGGACAAATGAAGCCTAATTGTATGGCATAGTTTTTAGAAAATTAATTTGTATTTATCTTCTATATTTTATATAGGAAATTGTGTTGAATTATGGATAAAATGTGTGTATTCCATGTGTACATTTAGAAATAAGATTTTGCATTGCTATCATCATAATAAATGTTCAACAAGCTTCCTTATCATAACAAAATAGTATACGGTAGACATTGATGAAAATTATTGCAAATATCGAATTGAATAATATCCATTATGGATAAACACAAGTTAATCACTTGTTTATATTCATCGTCATGAAAGGTCAAAGCGTAAAGATTACATTGACTACTTTTGCCTCTAAAATAATCTCTGTTCTTATTCTCGTTTATGCAGTAATAAAGAAGTGGGAGAGAAGAAGGTAAAAAAAGTCAAAAAGTCAGATATTTTGGCATTTCCACTCTTATTTTCTTCTAATCTATGGTTAACGGATATTTATTCTCCCCCGCAGTTCAAAATATGCTGATCCTAAGATATTCTCAAGATGAATTTACTGGAGTAATTTTCCCACAGAAGATTTCAATATAGTGGAGTATGATATACAGTTGAACATTCATTTGTAGTTTATTTCCACATTTAAACAAACTTTATACAATATCGGCACCAATAGATACGCCAAACAATATATGAAAAAAAGCAAAATGGTGGAAGAACAGGATAGTAAAAACAAGCAAGTACACTAATCAAGAGAATTTAAGGTACGCTCGTAACTATATTTTGCTTGGAGAAAGAGATAAAAGGAGGAAATTGTTGCATTTTCGGTGCTGCCATATATGTTGACATGTCATGTCAGTGATTCTGGTGATATCCAGACCCCACCCAGAGAGTCGTGATACACTAACAGATGTAGTTGATTCAGTGAAGCTTCTCTCCAGTTTTGCATTCCTTTGGAAGAAACAAGTAACTGATACATTAATGATCCAATCTTTTATTCATAAATACTGTAGGCTATTACATATGCCGCTTATATACATGATGGTAAAGATTGTGTTTACGGTTTAATGTATTATTTCATTGAACTACTCTAATCTAACTGACGATATTTCTTGTTATGTTCCCGTTATTTCCCTACGTAAATCGGTATCTTTGGGCGCATTCACCATTTAGCCATATATTACTTCTGGCCTTAACATCAAACTATCATTTTCTTGCCACTTCTGGAGAATGACACCATTAATACACATAAAATATCTTAATCCACCAGTTATCATAAAATTCATTGTTGAATAACGGTTGATATCATTTTTACTTAGTTATTAGAGATTACTTTGTTCTCCTTAAAACACGAAGATAATAATTGTAAAACTGCTGTAATCATTCGATATTTCCTCTCTAAAATATCGTCAATGAGTCACTTTAAAGCGTTCTGAAGGTTTGAAATCACTGGCACTTTAGCTATTATTACGAGTGAGGTGATGTAAATGAGTATTGACTTCATCCTCCTTTAAAATACCCAAACTTTTGTTTTAACATGAAAGCTGTGGCCTAATTTAAAACTTCTATAAACCACTAAAAAATATTGGCAAAACTATCTAATTAATTACTTCTCATTGGACAGAAGACAACTGTAACATAACAATTGAATGAATTGATTTCAACTCACCAATACTGTCAGTATGAACTTTTATCTGTGCTGCTATACCAGCGCCATATTTTGTACGAGCAGCTAAAGAAATGTGATACGTTGAATTCGGAACCAAATTTTCCATTACATACTCTGTTGATTCAGCAGATAGTTTAATCTCCATTGGTTGTTGTTTCTTCTGTTGTTTTTCTCCGTTGTCGGAAGTGCTATCCACTGCTAAACGATATTTTAAAAGGTAGTCTTGTAATCCAGTTTTCACGGGTAGATTAGGTGCTATCCAGCTAAGATGGATCTCCTTTGGATTAAAACTTAAACCAATAAAGTCGCGCGGTTGTGATGGAACTAAATTAAGAATTAGGCAATATAGGCAATTAACAAGATGAAGGGAATCATGTAATTTCATTTCAAAAGAAGCTTAAATCGTTTTCACTTAATTTTCAATGCTTTGTGTGTTGTTGACTGGTATTTTAAAAACGAAATTTTAATTATTAGAAGGTAATGTTTAAACATTTCTGCAATCAGAATTTTGTTAAATATACCGTATCACGTTTAATTTAGGTGACCTGATGAGATTTTTCTTTGACTTGTATAGTACTCACTGACTCTTTCGTGAACGCTTTTTCAGGCATCACAGTTCACGACAATCAGTTTCATGTGGAACATTAGAAGAACTTGCTATCTTAATGCATAGAACTGCATCAGATTACTGCTTTAACAAGAAAATATATTCATAAAGTGACGTTTTAGGTTGAAATATGATCTACTGGACAAAAGTTTACTATAATTTCCTAAATGATCAAAAATAGTTGTTAGCTTTAGGATTTAACTATATTAGAATATCTATGGATTGATCAGGTACGCCTATAACAAATTATATCGACTGGATACCTACCCTATGAAACGTGATATGAGCGAAAGCTGAATCACACATACACCAACACAAACAAGTTTAGGAAGTGTTAACAAGACAGTTTTACTGCAAACAGTTGAAGAATTGATAGTTTGAAATTTGATAACTATTACACTCAGACAAGTGATAGCAACAGTAAATAAATGGTATAATGTAAATCAACATCCACAAAATTCTTGTTTTCCAATATGATGAAATTAGCCTGATAATCGTCAGAAGTACCTTACTTGCAGCAGTATTTGGTATTAAAAACTCTGAGATGTTCGCCAGATTTATTCTCCATATAAATGACAGATTTAAACAAACCATAGGTGTGTCTTGACTGGACATGATCACGAATAGGTCACTAGTTACTAGTTTACTCACTCGTTCGCTGATTGTGACTAAAAATTAATCATTAAACTCTTCTTTTTAAATTACACAGTTTAAGGCGAAAATTCACCACTATTTCTTTCGGAAGAGCAAAATATTCAAACGATATTATGCGTCCCGCTTGATACATACAACAAAGCAGTACTGGTTGACGTGATTACTTCCTAGTTGCTCACCTGAATTAGAAGTATATGTATAGCATTATGGGGATACTAATCAGTTGGTGCAAAATCACAATTTCAGAGTCGGCAAAATACAATTTTTATTACAAACCAATGAAATCTTGTGTTTAAGGGGTAGTCAAGTGAACAAGAATGAGCGATGCAATATACTACACCGCTGCTTCTCGTTTAAGTAGTAAAATAGCTGTCAATTAAAAGAACATTTTGCAGGATATTATCGGCATTATATGGTCAGGCGTATCTGGTAAAAGTGGAAGTCACCAAGCAATGGTGAATTAACCGTTTTCCTACTGATCAGGTATACTTGTTTTTTCTTAAATATATCAGTTGATGGGGAAATAATTCAGTTTTCTAAAATGGAATTGTTGGCAAAATGATAGGATTTGGACAGTGAGGAAATTACACCGAAAAACTGTGTAATCTGTACTACGCTGTAACGTAACAGTTGTTTGGTGAATCCTTCCTGAGCGACTAATCGCAATATTTATACTTATATGAACATTCCAACTTTGTAATTATTACCCATTTTTCTCCTAGACTGTATATCACTATTCTCACACTTGCCTATCACATTTTGATTTGATACTCATCATTTGTCTTTGTCAATGCTTAATCTCCAATTGTATTGCTGCTCCTGGTGGTTGTGTGCACATTGATAATATGTTGTTTTACAAAGTGACTTTGTTTGAATGAATCAGAGTCATTTTGACTTTGAACGATCTGCGAGGAACGTTGATGTATGCCACTTGTGGACAGAGCTTTTGATCACACCTTGTTGAGAATATTCTACTTGATTCCAAGGTACTTCTTGTGGTCGAATTTTGGCTAACTTATTTTGTTCTATAGTAGTTGTTTTGTACTTAGAAATTTACCTTGTCTGTATAGCTGCCTAACATCATTTTTTAAAATTTTATTATTGTTGTTGAATAGATCCAGATATCTATCAGTTAACAGTCACTGTTTTACTTTCTCTTGAGTGTTTTGTGACTGTGCGTTTCTCGAGGAAGTTACAGACCTCTGTGTCGTAGGATTGAAAGATCGACTCAGACTACAGCGAGTCTGTCTTGGTCGTTACATACGCGACACACCCACTAGAATGAACATTGCTGCTGAACCAAGTGATAAATTACATTTCAATGGGATTCATAGCATTTTAATGTCAGACTGGGAAAAATTTATTAATGAGTACTTCTGAAAAGCCTCATCAGATATACATGTATATATATATAAATTAGATTATCACCATATTTCTTTTCTTTCTAGGTGAGCCAGCTTTCATTTAGGTGTGTTTAGAGTATCCTAACTTAGCTGTGCATCTTAAGGCGAAATGTGAAACATTCTTTAACTTTTAAATAAACAGATGCACAGAATAACAATAATGAAAACGAAAATAAACAAATAAAACGAATTGTGCGTTTGAAGCTTTTAGTGATTAAAAATTAAGTTTACAGGAAGTATACTAAAAATCTTTTTTAAATTAAATCTGAAAACAAAATCATTTCCAACTGAAAACGCTAATAAATTGGAAATGGGCAGGATTTAATTGCCCAAGATCAAAATAAATATCGATGTGTAAAACAGACAAATGATGATAATGAGGAATAAAATTTTAAAAATCAAAATATTTTATGGTGTCCAAACTTGCTCTAAAGACTTGAAGGTGAAATCAATAAGTAAATAAAGAATACCACATTTAAATAAACAAAATAATCAGTGAAATAAAATAAACACGTATAGAGGGTAATTTTTAAATGTGTGCGTGTGTATGGCTAACATTTCGTCATATATGAAGAGGTGAATCAAATGCATAAGGGCTCATGTTCAAAAGTCTTTTTTAGTGTTGTATATTAGCAAAGTTAGTCTTTGAGACGCTCACTTATCAGATTCAGTCAAGGCGTATTTTGTGATTCACCAAGGCGGGAAGAGTGTTGATAAAATGATACAGCTGAAAGTAATTACCTACACGGTAACCACTACAGTTCATACTTTCTGTGTAATCAATCAACTGGTGATGGCTTTTGTTTCGCGCCTATCGAGTCACTCTTTTTAACATGAGAAATAAATGTCATTAAAGGCAACCATATATTTAAAGTTATCTCAAAATGCTGGCTTTATAATTTTAAACAAAACAGTTAAATGGGAGCAATCTATAAACTTAGAAAACTGGAAAACAAAACAGAGAGAGAGCAAACTAAGATCAACTTAACACCCAAGTAGGTCATAAAAACCACCACCTAATCTAGTGTAATTGACCCAACAGTGTGCTAGGACATCAATTAAGGCAGTTAAATCACTACATGTAGGAGTTTACTGCATTGGAATAATGTCGCCTTTATCTTACAGGCTGGTGTCTTAACAGATTAAATCAACTGCTATATATCTTCATTTTCATTCCTAATCTTTCTTTTTTCATACACTTTTTTTGTTGACCATTTTGAATTACAGTTGAAATAAATTAGGAAAATAAAAACTTTTTTAAAGAAAATAAATAAAAGAAATTTCGCCAGAAGTCAGAGAAAAACAACTTTCAAATAAAATACCTGTTTTCGTGACAACTGAACTGCAGTGAAATGAAATTTTCACCAATCAAATAAAAAAAGAGCAACTAAACCAATGGAAAAATAATTTCAAGTAAAAAAAAACAAATAAATTTCGGGCTTGCATTTTTTTAATTTTGCGAGAATTTAAAGGCTTTCACAGTGAATGGTTACATAAACTTACTTAGCTTAGTTACTTTATTAGAAACTTGATTAATAGAAAGAGAAGAGATTTTAATTCGATCAGTGGTAGAGGTTATATCACTACTTTTATTAAATTGTACAAAGCGACAATATTATCCAGGTTACCTGAGTATGATGGTATAACGCAATCAGCAGAAAAGAGTGACAAACATTTATAAAGAGAAAGATCATATTAATCATTTAGTCGTTATTTGCTCATACATGTGATTCTTTAACATCAATTTCACTGAATTTCAAGATTATTTATGACATGACCTCAGTTACAGAACCGCTAGGAACCAGGTATTACTGAGTAGTATTTTTGTCCTCATTTGAGCTTCTTCAACAGCACACATCCACGACCTTACCAGCGATCTAACTCAGGATTTCAGGTTACAAGGTGAACCCGATGATTATTCAGCCACTGGAATCAAATCCAATGGCCCATAAATTCTAATATCTGCCAATTAAGGATATATAGCGCGACTATCAACCAATGTCTCTGGCGAGTATTTGTCCTCATAACGAACTTGGTTGACTCAATTGGTCACAACATTCCACTAAATATTAAGGTAACTTCATCCTGTGGTGAGTTACTAGGGAGCACTTGATTAGCTTTCAAGTGTTCACTGGACGTATCTAACTAGTCTTTTGTGACGGTCGTCTTAGACATAAACCTTGACAACATCATGTATATACGTCTGTTATAGTTTTATCTGTCAATGATTGTAAGTAGAATATAAGATCCACACTCAATTCTATGTGATTACATATATTTCCATCCTGTTATTCGACTTTAGCACCAAACATTCTGTTTACGAAGAAAGGAACTTTAAAGTATCAACCTTAGCGCCAGATTTCTAAAATTTTATTATTCGATACACTAAGATGAACTGAAAATCCTACTCCTATTTATTGAAATAACTGTCTCATTACAAAACTTTGTAATAACCTTTGTAATAGTGTGAAAACCCAGCAACAGGATGAACATGAGTGAAAGTATATCTTGAGAATTTGTTCCATAAGAGATAAATAAATTTTCACGACACATGTCAAACTTTACTGTCTGATAGGTCTTCTTCTTATCACAGTGGTATATTCGACAAATATCAGCTCAAGTGAAGGAATAAAGATTAAAATCGTCCCCCCTATTAAAGCTGAAATACTGATTTCCAACAATATGAAGATATCAATGCATCCATCGTTGCAACTACGTGAACTGAGGACTTCAGGCTTGAAGCCTTGAAAATCACTAGCCATGATGTTTTTCTTACGGCGTGGGGTGGCTAGCCTTAAGGTCAACATTCGCTCTTTCCCCTACTCACTAGTGAATTAGGCAAGGTCTAGGAGTGCCTCAGCTGGGAACCGAACACCGGAACATGAGCGTGGTTGGGGAGAGTTCTGCCACTGATTCCTTGATGCATTTGGAATGTTTCACTTTCCAGATAGCATAAAAGCGAATGTCATTTTGTATTAACTCAGCTAGCAACTTAGTAGACATATAGTTCACCTATCGGTTTCCCGGCCACAGAAAATTCCCTCATTTGCTTTAAATACTGTCTTGATACAACTTTAGTGTTTTCGCTTCTTTATTCTATCATAAAAATTGTACTACTCATAAGTAGATGATGCAAAATTATCAAAATGAAGAGGCTCCTTAATGATATTATGTCGCAATATCTGTAACACATGGTATTCAACATACTAAGAAATCTTCTTAATATCCAGGAAATATCAAGAAATATGAAGACATGTTAAATGAGATGGATATATATGCATGCCACTTACTTCCAAATTTCACTAAGACTGGAAAAGAATCTGTCAGAGGGCCTTCACCAGCTGAATTATGTGCACTCACACGAATGTGATAAGTTTCTGAGGTAAGTAGGTTTTCAAGTTTGATGCTTTCAAATTGTGTTCCCACTTTTTGCCATTGTATTAATGGAGCCTGTGGATTTCGACTGTACAGAATCTGATATCCCTGTAAGAGAAAATAAGAATAACGACTGCAGTAAATTCAAATAACTCAAAAGTAGCTTGACTCCCACTGAATGTCAAGTAGAGTAAAATTTAACTGTCCATGGAAATGGATCCTCATGAATTCCGTGCTGATGACAGTCAAAAACCAGATATTTGAGACGTAAAGGTGATCAATTTTAAGTAAAAATACCACGGCACCAGAATTTAGGAGTTTTCAGTGACTGTAAAATAACTTAATCGATGAAGTCAAAAAGGAGGAGTAAGGAATGTCATCATTGCCCCAGACTTACCTGTGAATGTAAGCTGAGTTTTCACTTCAACTTCTCAATCCTATAATTTTTTTCTAGGAACCTTTCCACAGTGAATCTATTCTGTTAAGTAGTGTTTAAGGTCATTCTAGATGCAATTGTTTAACCTATTTTACTGTCGTCACTTAATAAATTATATACTGGACTCTCTTTTCTGTACCATTGTTACTTAACTACTAATTAGAGAGATGAAAACCGTCATATCATGTTCCGAAACTGAAACAGAACCTCTATGTAGTTTGTTTATTTATTCCAGCACCTTTATACAGTAATATGTAATAATGGTATTTCGAGTGCAGTTTATTCATCACAGTCTCACTATTTCAAAGCAATAAAATTTTAGCATTAAAGAGCAGAAAACTCAGTGAAATTGTCAATATTCTTATGCAACAATGTTAGCGATTAATATTTCAAATATTTTCACCCTATAGAGAAAGATATTCAAACATATAATTGAATATTAGTTTCATTTCAGCTAGAGCCAGTATCCATATAAGAAAATGAGTCCACACTTCGTAAAATCCTTGTTTGAAGTCCTTTTAGGAGAGGAAACGTTTTCAGCTGAACAGCTGAAATTATTATTCCATATTTCTGATAGACTCAGTGAAAATGCAAACATGGAAATAAGTCCTCCATATCTCCTAATCCAGTGCGAAATCTCTAGATATTGAATTCTTATTCTCTTTTTGGAAGCAAAAGATGCTCTACCCGTATCCAGTTTATTCAGATTGGGCATGCCTACAAAAATCGAAAATTGTCTTTAAGAGAATTTTTAAGTGGTATACAAAACAGCCTCATAAACACATGGACAGTGAGGATTTCGACCTATAGTTAGATAAATGTTTGTCGCCTTACTGTTAACTTGCAATACTAGGTGGCTGTCAGTGAATAGTGTTCATAATTTTCCGCGGACATTTTCACTTCAGGATCCTGATGCACATCCCAACGGAACTTTCTTGTACGAAACAGTTCACTATCACTTTTAGTACTATACAGCACACACGCACATCACTATATATATGTATATATATAATCTGCTTTAATGGCTCTTTAAATAGAAATGTTGTTTATTTCATGCGAGACGAGCAGTGTATTCAATAATTATGGTTTGAAAGTAACTAAGTTAATGGTTCCCTTGTGTCATGCCAAATCTTCATTAATGCTACGACACACTTATCGCAAAATTTATCTGTTTACTCATTAGAACAAGGTTTAATCTCTTCGAGTTAACATAAGATACGGTGTGTGATAATATGCTTAAAAATTCATATTGTTACTAAAGTCATTAATGTGACTATTTATAAGAGGTTATCTGATTATATAAAATGCATGTACCATAGTGGAGGCTAGGCACTTACAGCGCATTAAAGATACAAATCTTTGAAGGCTGAGTTTTACAAAACTGTTTTTAAGAAAGTATTCCATTAACCAAATCAGTAAGTGATCTGTTATCATCCGTGGGTAAAATGTTTATAAACATGCCAGTGGTACACAAAGTAAGGAAACCTTCTGGTTTTAACCACTGTCTACTTAAATATTCTCATAATATGTAAGCAGTTTAGTTAATTGTGTTTAAAGCTATTAAAACTGTCCGGCAAATGAATGAAATTTAGTGATATCGTGGAATCAGTAGAAAAGATTTATCTAAATACTGTGAATTCGATTTGTTATTTGTTAAATAGGGTATTTAATATCACTTATTGTTTCTTCTGTCTTGTTTAAATGGATACTGAGAAATATGGCACTGATTAGATTATTGAAGTCTCTAATTAATGCACTGAGCAGAAGTGTATTTCATTAGAGTATGATTGTTTATTTTATTCAGAGAAATAATACGCATGCATTGCTTCTGTAAACTTGCACCTGCCTCATTTTTCTTCTAAGTAAACACATTTAGGAGGGTTTGTGCATTGGCAGTTCAATGATAGAAACGTCGTCACACAAGTGGGAGGACAGTGTTGTATTTACGGCTCATGCACTGCTAAACCTCACCAAGTTCTGTCTCTCTGTAATGATTAGTGATCTCAAAGAAAATGGAGGGTGTCTAGCAACTGTAATCCATAAAGATAACATTACCACTACCAAAACTTCAAAGGTTTAAACCCTGTGTTCCACTCGAGGATTGAAGCTTATGAATCTTTTCAAGTGATATAATAACTTTAACTGCATGTGCATCCACAGACATTTTGCCGTATTACAAATGATAGGTGATGTATTGTGAAAGATAAGATGTGTGGACACTTTTATGTAATAAAGTAATAAGAAAAATAAGACTTCCCAAGTGTAAAATAGTGCTATGAAATTCAGCATCATATATGCTCATGCTGGTCATTAAAAATACTAAAGCTTTTATAATCTCTTTAAAATTATCAAGAGTACTGTGTAGCGATCCGATTCTAACCTTGTTATTAACGCAGTATTCTTCATAAGTCAAATTATTAACAGACCAACTGCACACACAAATCCTCATAGAATACCCCCAGTCATCAGAACAATAAAGGAATCTCACTTTCAAAATGTAAATGTCTCAGCAGTATTTGCCTGCTAGCATAAAACAAGATTTCATATATTTTTTATTCAACACCTTTCACCAAATCTCATCACTGTGTTATTAGGAGCTAGAAATAGCTCATCTGCACTAGCTTGTGACAGTATTTAGAAAATAAAAATATGCTGTTTTGTTTAGTAATTTACATAAGAAATCAATATGAATTGAGAAATATGCAAAATTCTTAGTGAGGTGTGTACCACTTGAAATGTAAAAATTGAATGGTCTCATTACATTAAATATTAAATATTATAACATAACTACTGACAATTTCTTAAGTAGTAAGAAGATTTTTTGAGAATATATATGGTGTATTGAAAAGCCATTTTTTACATACATCACTTATTCTCTATTAACTTCACGATAAAGTTTACTCTGAAGATGTGGAGAGAAAGGACAGTGAAGGTTTCCCAATTAAACAGTTGAAAATAAAGAACACAACAAAGCCAAAAATACCCACCTAAGACACAAATCGTCTCTACTATTAATAGAACAACAACTGAAACCAATGACAGGTGTTAGCTGCCTGCGTCGTATCTACTGAGGTTTAAACTAAAGGGCTGATTATGTTCCGCTTTCATTTCACTTGAAATTCCATCATCCTAACCAAGTGTTAATCACTTTAAGAACACTTGTTTACTTGCTCACGACTGAATATACTTGGACAATAAGGATGTGCAATGCCAGCTTGTAGTCAAAAAATTGCCTCCAGAATTCGTGACAGTTTTCATTCAGAATGTAGAAATCGTGTTACAGCTTACAACAATATTCTAAGCTGTCATTACTTAACATTTGAAAGTTTCTGTCATTTAGGGGAATTTCTCTAACCTCTGCACTATAATACAGATTTCTTTCAAGCTTTTATCTGGAGTTTACAGTGTCTTGAAAGAGGTTATTTCTGTGTATACAGCTGATGAGAGTTCATGAGAATATAGAAACTTATCTAATCTGTTTTCATCACCTATGTACCCACTTTGTTCCGAAGATTCCTTACAGCTCTTGTCTAAACAGCAACAAATTTACTTTATGCTCAGGTGATCCAGTTAGTCTGAACTAAGTTATTAAAAAAACAGGATAAAAACTGATTCAAAACATTTGAAAAAAAAGATAACATGAATTTTACGTAGATAAGTAGCAACTTACAATAATTTTCCCATTTGCTTCTTTCGGTGGCTTCCAGCTGACTAGAACTGAATCATCAGAAGTTGCTACAGTTTCGATGGAATGTGGAGCTGAACTTGGGGCTGAAGTTTAAAAATATTAAACATCATTTGTGTTATTTATTTTTATACCTACTACAATAAGATTATAATATAATGAAAGCTTGTTCATTTTTACAATCATTATCTTTTTTGAGAAGGAAAGTAATGAATACATTATCTTCAACAACAGAGAAACTATTCTGAATCTTTGAATGTATTTGCGCAACACATATAAAACAATCTGATCACATACGTACTTGTTATAGGAATATGTATGAAAATAATAAATAGTTAAAAGGTGAGAAAATAGACTTAGGTCAAGTTAAAAGGTCGTATTGAATATAAAAATAACAATGCAGATCAATAAACAAAAGGGAGATAATAGTGTCAATAGTGTCAAAACAAAATTCACCAAAGAAGGTGTAATGTGATAATGAATTCCTTTTGAATTTATAAAGGTGGTCTGAACATCCTAATTCCTAGGTCGAAATTCACAAAGGTAACTAATTGTTTCAAGTAAATTACTGTCAGTAGAATCCGAAAGTCCAAGTTACAAGGGATCAAAATAATCATTGTATTTTAAATGAAAAGCAATTTTACGATGGATGCTTTATCACAATGATCACATAAGTTACAAAATAACATGATAAATATTCTTATCACTAAGACTGTATATACTACTAACTGACACCGAGAAGTGCGAGGCACCTAAATTATCCGTTACCACTTACTCTCAGAAAAGAAGTGTTCTGTATCTCAGACGGCCACTGGCTCTTTTGGCGCCGAATTTGTCAACAGTGTCACACTTACTTTAAAGAAACTGAATAAAACACCCGGGCAAACTCTTAGTTCAGTGCATCGAATTCGGAGTTTTCAAGTTGCAGAGTTCAGGAGAGAACTCATCACGTATTGTCATCTGAATATCACCAAAGGTGAAGTTTCACTCTATGCTGTGCTAAATAAATTTTTCACCGAGTCAGGATTCAGAATATTGTTTAACAAAAAATAACTGCTATATTAAAAGCAAAAAGTGTAAGTTCCTATTTGAAATTCATCTTGCCAACAGTAGTGATATTATAAATGGAGATCGTAGCCTTTGCTTAAAACAGTCATTAATAAGCACGAATGTAGTAAGATATAATAAGCATAAATGAATAGGTATGATAAACAGCTACTAATTAATGTTCATCTACTAAAGCTTTGGAAATACGAGAAATTTTTACATAACCGAAAAAAATATATTGACCAGTAAATAATAATTTGTCGACTGAATTTCTCCCTTTTCAATATACTACAACCAATCACAGTTAAATATATAATCAGGCTTCGTTAAGATCAAACTATGCTCTATTTGTGGACAAGGTTACATTCCATGCTTCATTTATTAAATAATTTGACAAGCATTCGGTACCTGATAGGTAAATTTAGTCGAAATATGTCCAGTGAGATATCTCTGTTTCAACAGTCAGCCACAATGAGCGCTAGGCTATACACAAAGTCAGATTTTTGTAGAGTAATTATGACATAATAATATTACTGATGACAAACCTTCACTTGTTGACTGGAGCCTAAATTATACTAACATTTCTAAAATCAGGTTATTTGTCTGGCATGACAGTGAAAATTTCCATTGAAAACTAGACAATATGAAGAATATAAGCACAAATGAAAGTAATTTCTCAAGCTAAAACTTTTCACAAACCTGTTGTGGATGCAATATTAGACTTCGTACATAACAATACTTTTAAGAAAGATGTTTGTATAACCTGAAGTAAATTCATTATCTCCCTAAAATTTGAATCTAAGACACTAATTCCTAAAACAGAGGCTTCAGTGCAAAGTACTGAGATATATTCCTAAATCTCTTGTTAAATGATAACCGACTTATCTCTTCAGTTCTCAGTATTTGTTGTATTTGGAAACCTTTTTTCTGCCTAAAGCTACACTTTAAGCTGTATTTAAAAATGGTAAGTTGGTTATAGTTAGCAAGTGGACGGCTTAGATCCTTATTATTGTGTAATACTCGCTACAAGATGTATGCGGAGATTCGATAGGATTTATGTCAAGTTAGAGGTTCCAATCCACATCATTGGCTGCCCTTCAGTTATCACTTAGTGAACTTTATTATATCTTATGAAATGATATGTAGTGTCACACTGAGAACTGTTACATTTTACATTTGAAGGCGACATAAGACTTAATTTAGCGAACACACGTTTGTTATTGACAATATTAGTGGTTTTTAAAGAGTGACATCGAATCATTTGGATCAGAATTCCCTTACTCCTTGACATTACACTTGCATTGACTAACCCTTTGTTTTCTTATTTAAAGGTAGTTGTTAACTTGCACACTAACACACATACAATGCACATAAAATTCAACCCCTGAAAAAATTTGACCTGATCATTCATCCAGCTGAAGTTTATAATCAGTATGAATAAAATATAATATTAACATGACTCAGAATTCATTACTATACATTCCCTATCATTCATAATCATTTACTTTGTAATACTGATGTTCAATTTAGTATTATAATTTTACATATTACCAGATACATATATTTCGGACTATAATCTACTAGCAGTCTATTTGCAAATAACTTTTGAAATTTTGATCTAAATGATTCGATGTCACTCTTTAAAAACCACCAATGTACTCAATAGCAATCATTCATTAATTATTATGGATATATAACCGTAAGACCTGATGATGAAGTTATCGAAAAGAACGCGTGTTTAATTATTTCCCTACAACTAACATTCCTTATGCACTCTAAAATGATGTGTTCATAAATCTCTGACTGCAATTCATCTGACTTTTCAAGTGGAAGATCTTGCAGTTTCTCACTCCCCGATGTTTTAACCATCAAATAAATCTACCATTCTTCCTTTGGCTTCCAAATGGAATACAAGGTTTCAGAAGCACACCTCCATTTCATTCTACCTTCTGCAATTTTTTAGTCGTCTCGACCACTGCCCAAAGGCTCCTATTTCCCCCTCATACTATCTCTTCTATGTCACCTTCCCTTATGGGTCTACTAGGGAGAATAGCACATGATTTTACCCAAAGGTTTGGCCACAGTGTGTCCTATCCGTCTCCACTTCCTTCGACATATCTGTTGGGAACTAATAATCATGGTTGCTTGATTACCTGAATCCCGTATTGCTGCCCCATTTTGACAGTCTGATCTTCACTAGCGAGCAAGAGAAGGCAGTTATTGATGAAAGTCCTCAACAGACTGTTGGAAATGTTTTTTGTAAAGCTCTAAGTCTTGAAACTATGCAGAAGCACTCGGTAACTTTACATTAATGTTGGAAATTCAGATCTTGTTCCTTACGCTGAGTTCAGTAGACTTCTACACTGATTTCAGAAGTCTGTTATGCTTCTTCGATCCTTATTTTAATAGTTACATCTCCATTTTATGGCTGTATTGGCCGGAAAGGATATTTTGAAGCAAAGATCAGATGACTGAATTGAAAATCGGAAAGCAGATATAATTAGAAATTTTTCATGCAAGACAATGTGGAGTTCCTCACTAACATATATATATATATATATAATGAAAAGGGTTTCGTTGCATAAATGCATCAACTAGTCAGTGGAGAGGGACAAACATTCACGCACATATCCTCAAAATGCATATCTGTGGTCTAAGAGAAAGTAAATAGAATCTTAGTGTGTCGATCATCACGCTAATAGCTATTAGAGAACCCTATCGTTGAAACATACATTATGATTTCCGTTCTGTGTAACTTTTATACCTCATTATTAGTTTGAAAATAATGTCTATTGAAGCATTGTAAACTTGTTTTTCAAAATAACAATAACCAAAAAAAGTAGAATGAAAAGCCCATAATACATTGTTTTTGGTTGTCCCATTCACCCATTCATTCAATCTTTCATTCATTCATTCTCCCTCTCTCTCACCTTCCATCTCTGGCTTCTCTATTCACAAACATACATACAAATTGACTTAATGCGCTTACGTGGGGTATAGCCACACAAACTTCCTATTTTACACCATTGTCCAAAGTAGCAGACAGGTTTCCATTTCATCCCAATGCATTGTCGGATTCACACATCCAGAAACACACTTATACACACATACACTCATGATTTTTTCCAATAGATGCTATTGTAATTCTACAAGTCTAGACATACTTCAACATAATATAGCAAAAATAGTCATTTAAGTTGTATCACTAATATTAAACCACATAATTCCACCCATTAGTAACTTAAAGTGGTCGACTTAGGTGCAGAAAACACTTGATACCTGATGACAAGTATATCTTATGAGCCCTGGTAGCCAGCATGCTACCAGACCAGTCAATGAACTTGATTAACAAACAGATCAAGAATTCATTCCACTAGTGAATAGTGAAGCTGACTGCTATGTCTTCCTAAACTGACAAATATTTCAAAAGCGCAGATGTAATTTTCATTCATCTTATATTTATGATTTTGTGCGTGATTCAGTGTAAGGTGATTTGAATTTATGGCGTCATGTGTCGCAGTTACTGACACCCGTCAGCTAGACTTATGATAATAATAATCGCTTTATTCTGAAAAATGTGTTTATACACATTACAGAATTTTCATAGGGTTTTGTAGCAACATATTTACTTCGTATTCAGTATCTTCAAAGAATATAATAATCTGTATTATATCAACTGAAGCGATCTCATTCCATCCGAAGTTTGCTCCAGTACCACTGCACAGCGTTCTTCCTCCATTTCCTTCGAAACTGTTCTCGAGGTAGGGAGAAGCTTATTTGAAATTGCGCGCAATTACAGATTGTGTATCGGAGAGGTAATTAGATCATCAAAAGAATATGAAGTGCAGTGAACACAATGCGTTTTAACGGATAACAGATATAAGTAGCCCAGTGATTTAAGCAGGTCGCCATCGACCCAAAACGTGTTATACAAACAGTGAAGGGATTGCTTGTCCCTCGGAGACCAAAACCGGCTCTACTCGTTGCTGTAGCCGGGGAAGTTACCATTAAGTCGTTTAAATGACTATTGACTCCCTTT